AGTGGATAACAATTGTAAAAAATGAGTGAAAACAATCCCACGGACAATGCGACGTATTTAAGGTTATGTCAAGGTACGTCTCTTGTGAATATCAATTGATTGTTAGGTTTTCTCTTCTGAAATTACATTATGACGCATTCACATACATTATTAATACAAATACATTTTCCAGGGCGAGACGATGAGGCAACCACAAGCACTTCCACTGGTTCAAGAGGTCCACGAGGGAAAAATGCGCAATATTACCGTTATTGCAGAGCACGGAAGCGAGCGGAGCAGGAAAAAGAGTAGTTGAATAGAACTAGGGATCCTTCTACGACTGCTGATTCTTCTACACTTAACGTCGCAGGTTGTGAAGTTTAACTTCTTCCGCGGAGGGACTCCACGCACTATTTTTTTCTCATTATAATGCGTATTACGTTAATCCAACATAAATGAATTCTGACCGGTATGCTATAACTACTTAATACTACTGTAAAGGGTTAGTTAGCAAAATTCTTTTTCTCCCTTCTTGAATTTTAACTAAAACGAAGTCGTGTGAGATGTTGGTTCAGTAACTAACTGAAGCAATTGGCAATCGAAATGGGCTGCAGGTGGCTTAAAGCAGAACTCTCCACCTATATGGCAGCACTTCGCATGCTTTCACCATTAGCGTGTGGAGAGTCATAGAAGGAGGAAGTTTCTGTCTTGATTTTCATATAGATTAAAATCTTTTAAGCTGGGAAACTAAATGGAACTGAAAAGTACATTAAACATAGTTCTAAAAGGAAGCATCATGAAAATTTAAAAAAAATATTGTTTTTAATTACAAACGAAAAATATTAGGAAAAAGAAAAATGGCGTAGTACATTCCTATGCAACTGAAAGGGGGAAAGGCCAAAAGCATGGTACCGGTCTTTTCCCCAGATCAGATGGCGTATTCCAGCGTTGCAATCGACTATAAATATCACTAAACATTAATTTTATAAAATTTCCCAATTAAACTATATTACTTACAAAAAATAGAGTCATGTAGTAGGTGGTGAGAACGATGCAGATGCTAAAAAGGATTCTTAATTCCTTATATTCATGATGCAGGGCGGACAATCCAAACAGCCAGGATATAACTGTGAAAAGAAAAAAAAACATTTTGTGGTTAACACTATCCTGAAATATTAATAACATTTTCATAGCTTTTACAGAATACTGCAGCACAGGGAAATAAAATGTTTCCATAATATAGGACAAAATTAACGTAACATGGTGATTCAAAAATTTTCTGCATTTAACCACTCAATCGTTACACTTCTTTCGTTAAAAATTCTTGCACATTTTATTATTTTTGTTAGTAAATATGGATAAATATTTTATCTTGAAGATTACTTTTCATGCTTGTCTATTTACTTTAGAAATTTTACTTTACCATATTTGGCGAAAAATGCTTGAAACTTTAGATTATTAATATCAACAGAATTCAATATTAATATCAATTTTTGAAAAAGTATTAACGTAACGCCTTACTATAATTGCTGAAAATTTTCAATAAAATTCATGAAAATTTCGCAATATATAAGTATTTACAGTTATATTTTCATACTACACATGCGAGGAAAATATTAAAATTTTTTCTTCATGATTTTGTTTAGAATCGGAATTGCTGACTTATGAAAAAAGTCCAATTTGAATATCTTGAAAATATAAAAAGTGTCTAGCAAATTTCTAGGTAGCTTTTGTACTCTATCAATAGCTCTGAATAAGGATGTTTCCACAAATATCAATTCGTACTATAAAACAAAATTTCTTAATAAATGACAATATGGTCCGAACAACAAAATGTGACGGTATTAGGAAATAAAACGTAATTTAATTTTGTGTGGTCCTATATAATGCCAATTTTAATAAATCTTGTTTAATAGTGCAAAATTAAATATGTAGAAAACCCCTTTCTATTCAAAGCTCTTTTTCCAAATTATCGAATACTACTAAGAAAATTGCTAGAAACTTTTTAAATTTTCAAGATATCCAAAACAAAATTAAGAAATTTTTTCGCACGTGAGCAGTATGAAAATATAACTTTAAATACTCATCTTGCTCAATTTTAAACAAATTTTAAAATTATGTTTTTATTGTTAATTAACAATTACCCTAAAAATTTGTTAAATTTTATTAAATATTTCTGCAGTTATAGTAAAAACACGTAAGTCAATAAATTAGTTTTTTATAAAAATGTCCATATTTCCATGAATATGTAAGCTAGGTTTACGAAAATGTGTGCAGTTATTCAGAACTCATGTTAACGTAATTAACATGAGTTACAAATTAGCTGATTTCAAAATTAAAAACACGAACACAAATGGAGATAGATAAATAAAACAAACCGTATGTCTTCTATAAAACCTGTAAACTTTTTACACAAAAATTTTGGAATTAAGTTACAAAACTGGCCAAGAGATGGCGCACTACAGAATTCTTGAAAAGAATACAAATGCCATAAAATGTGATATTCCAGCAAAAGAAACACATGTTGTTCAATAGAGTACAGGACCAATCCGAAACAACAAGCAGATTTCACGAAATAATTTAAATTTCATGATAATTGTTGCCAAAGATACTAAATATTTAACACATAAGGAATTTCAGGGAATTCTATTGACATCAAAATAGAAAAACTGCAATATTTTCCGGTCATGATTGGTATTAAATATGCTTGAAATGTAGTGAATTATGCTTACTCATAATTTTGAATAGTAATTGCCGTTTAATTCATAAGAAATAATTAAGATTTTTTTAAAATTAATTTAGAAATAGAGTTCTGAATAAAAACAAACTGAACATTTTAGAACAAAAAAAGTTTTTAACTGATTTCTATAAATGAGGCTCGCTTCATTATATAAATTAGTAATACTTATTTAAATATTCAAGCAAGCAATAATCTGTGTTAAAATTCTATTTCAATAGGGATTTTTTTTATAGGAAACTTAAACAATTTTAAGGAATTTTCTAAAATGCACAAAAACCAGGAGAGTTTTTAGTAAACTAGTAGATCAGGAGAAGCTGGCAAAATCCAGTGTAGTTGGTGGCTGTGTATATATATATAATTTTAACAGCTTATACAATAGACGTTTGTTTTTGATAATTTTGAAATCAGCCTGCTGGAGACTTTTATTCTATTTAGGATACCAAAAAGGAAGGAGATGGTGAAGGCCACCCTGAACTTGATGACGGATTCATGGTAGGATGAGTTTTCTAATAGGTAGTCCTTCTTGTAACGGCACGTTATGGCGTAGACTGCGCACAGGTTGAGGCAGAGTGTCACGAGCACCAAGACAACAATTGGGATGACAGCCGCCCTCGATACCTCCGTCAATGGCTTCAGACAGCTGAAAAACAAACAAATCGATTCCATTTTTGAAGCTCCAAGAGGTACACAGGACAAAATTAAGAGAATTTGCTACTTGCCTTTACCCAGATGTAGAATTTTTAACTGTGGCGGATTTTCTGATAAATGTGGAACAACAAATTCAAATTTTAATTAAATGATCGAAGTTTTTTCTTCTATTGCTAGCAAAAAATTTAGCAATGGAATGAAATTAATAACTTCAGACTTAGTTGACTTTTAGTCGGTATGACGAACATCCATATTATTCCCTTTTGTTTGCCATAAGAAATAAAGGCGTAAATTTTTTATAGAACTATTTTAATTCTACTCACAAAATTACAATGTTCTCAAAGTTAAATGTGCACACTCTTTGTTAAATAGTAACTAAATTAAGATCTTCAAATTTTAATTAAATGATCGAGGTTTTTTTTTTTCCATTGCAGTGCAAAAAATTTAGCTATGGTATAAAACTAATAAATTCAGACTTAAGTAACTTTTAGTCCATGGAACGAACATTCAAATTATTCACTTTCGTTTGCCCTAAAAAGTGGCCACATAAACTTTTTATAAAAGTATTTTAAATATTTAATTTTACTGAAAATTGCAATGCTCTGAAGGTTAAATGTGCACATTATTTGTTAAATAGTAACAAAATTAAGATCTAGATGTTTTCTGTTAATTGTATGTGGAAACATATTTTATATTAAAAAAAAGAGGCTTCTTAAATACTATTATTCATTTTCAGTAAAAATAAATGTTAATGTAGCAAATTTAGTTGTATATCTGTTTTATTTTTCGTTGAGAATTTTGAGTTTAATTTTAATTATCTTTGATTCTTCGGCAATATGTTTGTTTATGTTTAGATTGAAAATAAGTAACACGTTCTATTCCCATATTAATATCTTTGTTATCAAAATTTGACATATTTTAACAATCAAATCATGCATCAAGTGATTTTGCTGATATTTTTCCTCATAGCTGTGCCGTAAATTCTGATATTGTAGGAGAATTCCACTTTGGAGAGTTTATATTTTATTTAGTTAGTTGGAAGATATTTCAAGCGCCATTTTGTGACGAATGATAGCAAACCGGCTAAATGATGTAGTTCTAAGTTTCTTTACTATTTTTCAAAAAATGTGCAACTTTGAATGTGAGAACGTAGAAATTTCCATTGATATATTGTTATTGGATTGTTTTGATAGCAAATTTAGGTGACCACAATCGATGGCAATTGGAATATCATTTTTGGTATATATGCTTTTTTATCTTCTGAAAAAACTGGGACATAATTTGGCATATTAAAATAAAAAATTATTTAGGAGTATGTTTGAGCAATTGAGGTAATTAGTGGGGAGCAATTGGACCCTTTATCACTTAGAGAGGTAAAGAAGGCATGTACCTCTTTAAGTTGTAGTGCTCATCATATCTTGTTAACCATATGACAAATATGATAACAGCAGCTGAGCCTGAAAAGGAAAATAAAGTTATCACTTAACAATTGAAAATTTTTTAAAATTTTTATCAATGGCTTACAATTTTAAGGTTCCGCAGTGGACTGATCGTAAAGACACGGTTCCCAGCAGATCACCGAAGTCAAGCATCACTGACTGCGGTCAGTGTGCGGGTGGGTGACCACTTGGATCAGTCTGCGTAAGGAATGAGGGTGTGCGGTATTTGTTCTCGTTAAACTGTTCTGCCGTAAAGTGCTCGACTTCGCGTGTAGGTCGTCGGGCTACCGAAGCGGCGTGCTATCCCTTCTGCAGAGGATCAAAATTATGATGGCATGTCGTCGGGTCATCCTCAGGGATGTTTCCCAGACCGTCGCCAATAGCCCATTGCGCAGTTCTAGTGCGGCGTAAATGCACTATAACTACAATTTTAAAATTGAAACTAAGAAAATAAATAATAAATTTGCATAGTACAGGAAGGAAATAAAATAATGGTTATGAAAGAAACTTTTAATTATTTCAGTTAAAAAGTTCTCAATTATACAATGAGGAGAGAGGTAAAAAACACTTATGTAAATTCTCCTGTTATAAATTAAAGAAAGGCTGTTAAAAACAGAACTTATTTTTGCATTTAGTTTATCTTGAGGTGTATAGTGCTCCACCAAAGTATAACTTCACTCAGATTTTCTTTATTTTTAAACAAATAAAATATGTTTATTAATATTTCCTCTATTAGAACTTTTTATTAGTTTGTTAATACACTAGACTTTATTATATTTCATGACAATAACAGAAAAAAAAACTGTAAAAATAAGTCAACATTTCTTGACGAGTAATTATAACCTCAAAATAAATAATTTTATTCATTTTGATTTTAGAAGATGTAAACTTTGCAAAATATAATAACTCAAATAGATTATCCTGGTTCTGATTATTTTATTTTATAACCGTCGCTGAACAGCTGATTCAATTTTGGGTTTATGACTACTGATGTACAACTCCGTAACCTTGTAATTTTGAACCAATCCAAAAGACGAGGAAATTCCGGGATTAGTACCCCCAGAGGTATGATTTGTTATGGTAACATGGAGGAATTTGTGCCTCGACAGATTTAACGTGCATCAGTCACCATTTACTACACGGGGAGTCTTCAACCAGCGGGGATCGAACCCACAACCTCTTGGACATTGGCCCAGTGCCTTGCAATCCAGGCTATCCCGGCACTAATTCTGATTTTTTTTTTTTATAACCGTCGTTGAACAGTCGACCTAATTTTATGGGTTTACTACTACTAATTTCAACTCCGTAGCCTTGTAATTTTGAACCCAATCCAGAAGACAAGGGAGCTCCTGGATCAAGCATAGTAAAGATTAGCCTTCGTGGAGGACTTTTTGATAGAACTAACCCGCATTTGCGTTACATGGAGAGGTAGACCACGAGAACCTCCCACGGTTAATCTGACGGCAAGGGGACACTGACCCATGATCCGTCTACCATTGAAGATATATCACGTCAGCACTGTGGTCGGTATCGACTGGGATTCGAACCCGGTTCTCCTCATTGGAAGGTGAGCGCTCTATCCCCTGAGCCATCGCGGCTCAAATTCAGTTTATTTTACTTTATTTTATAACCGTGGTTGAACAGCCGACTCAATTTTAAGGGTTTACGACTATTAATGCTCAAATCCGTAGCCTTGTAATTTTGAATGAAATCCAGAAAACAAGGGAACTCCTGGATCAGTACCCACAGAGGTATGATTTGTTATGGGGACATGGAGGACTTTGTGCCTCGACAGATTTAACGTGCATCAGTCACCATTTACTACACGGGGAGTCTTTTGCCGACGGGGATCGAACCCACGACCTCTTGGACACATTATTTGCAAAAATGCGAATAATCTGTAAAGAGTGTGAAGTCTAAAGTAGAAATTTGTCAGAAAAATCATTTGATATTATCTATAATGAAAGCAGTTAATCTTTATTTTAATGAGTTAAGCTTCTAAAGACATGTTTTACTTTATCAAATAATGTAAAATTACTAGGATGAGTAGCAAGTAATAGAAGAGTGCTTCAATTTTTTTTAATTGTGCCAAAATTAGCCTTTTGGTTTTGTGTGTGTGATTGCATTGGGTTTATTTACTTATATTTTTTGACCCCTAATGCTGTTCAAATAGCATAGTATAAAGTAAGTTCTGTTTAAAAATCAGTTAGTGAAAATACTCAACCTAATAGCAATAGAGTGAGTGAAACAATAAAATATTTTTATTGTTAATTTTAATTATAGTTCACTTACAAGAAAAAAAAATTTAGCTTCTTTTCTTTTGTTGCATTCCAGGGGTTGACTTTGATCATTTCATTTATCAGGAAATGGTCAAATAGAAAACGAAATTATTTTTAGGCTACCCCATTAAATTATATGGCAAATGTTATGTTCTTATTTGTGTTGTATAAGTATGTATACATATTTCTTTTACCAAAAATGAAAAATCGAATAAAATTTACACTATTATAATTATAAAAGATGCATAGGTCAAACATCTGCTCTTTGAAGTAATGCCGTGAGTTAATTGACATTTCAAAGTTTACAAAGAAAGGATGCTTGAAATTTTGAATTCAAATATTATTCTTATCTATTGTGATGTTTATAGAAGCTTCTGAACTAATTGATATTCAAGTTTACTGATTGTCAGATCATATATTTGATTTTGATTATAACACAGATCAGCTGAGGATTTGATCAAAATATTTATCACAATTCTATTTTGAACAAAAATCATTTATCCGGGTATCTCCAAATAACCAGACATATGATACAATATTTTTTTCATTTAAAATCTCTGTTATTAACCTCGAATAATTTATTTCAAATGGAAACTTTGTGAAAAAACAATTTGTTATTGCATGGGGATAAAGTTAAATGACACAGTGTCAACAGTTCTTAATTTCACACATAAGATAAAAAAATTTCCTAACTGTGCTAAATACCGTCAAAAATATTATTTTTTTTATGTCTTTCTTGTTTTTAACTTTAATGAAATTAAATTAATAATAATTCAAGAAAAATTTACTTTATTTGTCTGAAATATTGAGGGGGACTTTTAGAGATTTCCATTGATTGCAGTATATTTAACGCCTTAAAATAATAATGAGCTGTCACATTGTTTCTCATGCTTCCAATAAACTTCGGTAAAATTCGTTAAAAATTTACTAGTCCAGAAATGAAATTTTTCAACCATGTAGTGTTATTCCATAATTCCTCAGCAATACAACTTTTCTTTAATGAAAGAACAGAAAATCATCGGAGTCGGTAAAAGGTTTTTAGCTAGCAATGTATATTTACCCCAAGTACAAATAGCAGCTTTCAGCTGGAAGTAAGGTACTTCTTCCAAATCCGTTTTCTTGCCAAATCTCATCTTGTGAACGATTGCATGAACGAGGAGCCAGCCAAATGTTGCCAACAGAAAGTAGTGGAGCATCAAGGATAGGAGGAAGCAGCTCTTCTCCCAAGAAAACTTCTCCTCGCTCAAGAGGAGGATGAGAAGGCAACCCAAAAAACTCAAAGACAAATGGAACAGGATGGTGTGATCGACTGTCATTCGCCATTTCCTGAAACAAAAATTCTCTTTTCATTATGCTATGAACATTTCTTTTTAATCTAAAGACATCTTCGAATCTCAAATTATGTCGAGAACTTAACATTAAGCATGTATGTAAGATCATTTTTTACAACACAAGCTGTTCATTCGAAAAATCAACACAAGTGACAAAAAAATCAAAGTCGAGATTTTCATATTTTTGACGTATTTGTATGATAAGCTGCACACCTCAAAAAAAAAGAAAAAAAACTAGCATTGATAGCAAGCAAGGGTATGAAAATAGTTGTCAAGCTGGTTTTTTAAAAATCTGTCGTAAAGGACTTGCATTGTTTTTTTCAACTCTACCGCAGTATTTTAAATTTGAGATTTTCATATTTTAAACATATTCATAGGATAAGCAACACACCCGCTAAAAAAACTTCAGCATTGATAACGTAGGCAATGGTAGGAAAATAGTTGTCAAGCATTTTGGTTTCTTTTTTGGGAGTTTCTTTCCAGTTTCCTCTGTCAGTATGCTTAAAAAAAAAAAAAATCGGAGATTAAATATTTCAAGGGTTTAGGAAGTTAATGAACTGAAGTTCAAATATGGATGTTAATAAGAATAGTAAAAAGAATCTGAATTTTCGCTCAGTTTATTACCTTAAAAGAACTCTATACCGTGGGAGGAACCTTTCATGGTAGGATTAGTTCCCCATCATATAATCCTAAGTAACCGTGCTATAATTTGTTTGTCTTCAAATATTTTGAAATTTTTTTTTCAGAAAATTTCATTCGAAACTTCAGTGTTTACCTTAACTCATTTTTCTCTCAGCTATAAATTTTAAAAGAACAAAATTAGAGCTTTATCACTCATATAATGAACCTGACGTTATTAACTTCTTTAAACGACAAAGAATAAAATGGGTATTATCAGAATGGATGAAGATCGTACCGCAAAAAGAGTTTTCAATGCTAGACCAGTTGGCACACGAAAAAGAGGCAGGCCGAATTTAAGATGGATAGATGACCTAGAAAAAGATTTTTTTGGTCTTAAAAATTTGAAACTGTAAAACGGTAGCAGGAAAAAAGGTTGGCAAGGAAAAAACTTCTTGAGAAGGCTAAGGCCCACCCCGGTCTGTCGAGCCATTGATGATGATGATGATAAATTTATAAAAAAAAATGGAGATGAAGGAGAATTCGCCATTAAAAGTTTCTCACAAGGTATAGCCTCTTCTTAACAGTTTGCGGAAGAAAGGCAGGCCGAATTTGAGAAGGATAGATGACCTAGAAAAAGATTTTTTGGTCTTGAAAACTAGAAACGCTAGCAGGAAAAAGGTTGGCCTGGAAAAAACTTCTTGAGAAGGCCAAGGCCCACCCTGGGCTGTCGAGCCATTGATAATGATGATGATAAATTTAAAAAAAAAATGGAGATGAAAGAGAATTCGCCATTAAAAGTTTCTCACAATGTATAGCCTCTTCTTAACATTTTGTGGTTGAGTATAGCCATTTACTTTACTATCATTACTGCGGGTCGCATTTATTTCGGCGACAATCACTTCATCTACAGATCATTTCATCGACGGTCATTTCGTCGACAGAGTCGTTTCGTTGACGGGCCATTTTGTCGACAGGGTCGTTTCATCCATAGGGTTGTTCCATCGACAATCACTACATCGACACCTCTTCTACGGATAATTTTATTGACAAGGTCATTTAATCGAAAGTCTATTGTATATTTCGTTGACAATGTTATTTCGTCAATAGGGTCATTTCGTAGACAGGGTCATTTCATCAACAGAATCGTTTCGTCGACAGGGTATTTTCTACGACAAAGTCGTTACGTCATCTGCATTTCTTCGTAATTTAGTACATTTCTGGGTGTCTAAAGTTTTCAAACTTTGCCTAAAGCAAACTTTGTGTCCTATGTTCCAATTGTCAGAAAAAATATTTCTTCTTTTAATTTGAAATTGTTTACTTCTTTTGTTGTTTCCATAAAGTTTTTTGTGTCTTGCATGAAAGGAGAATTCCTGAACTATGAATGAAAGTATAGAAAATGATTAATCCTCTAAAAAGAAAAACTCCCATTTTTTTCTGAATAGCAAAAATAATTTTATTAATGTGAAAATTAGGGATAAAAACGAGATCAGAGGTATTTTACGACAGGAATAAAATAAATGAAAGTTGAATGATACAAGTCTTACTTGGAGAGAAGGTAGAGTAGGGCTGAGAAAGCCAGAGCAATCATAGAAAAACTTAATCCCACGTGCAGGGCAGTTCCCAATCTGTAAGAGGGGGGATCACTTTTCTCTGGATTAACAGACTGTAAGAATGAAATAAACATATAAATTAAATAAATGCAAGGAGAATCTGGGCTTCGTTTTTAGCAAATTATGAATATTTAGGAAATTCTTTAATGTTAACTTCTAACATTTGAATTCACACCTGGATTTTAGGAAAACATAAATTGTCATAAATCTTAACAGAGTTTTAAGAGGGGAGATGGGTGTGGCACACACTTTTCAAAACTCTTCGTAATTGAAATGCACATATTTGTATCAGCACTGTATACTGGTTTAAAAAATGAGGAGAATTTTCAAACTGGGTCGATTATCTCTAGAACTACCGGACCAATTTTAATGAAATTTGATAATTACATGCATTGATACAATACAAAACAAATAACCATTCAACAATTGTAATACACGCGCATGATCGTGTATATTAACACTCGTTGGAGTAGGAAAGTATGAAATTCCCACAGGAATTGATAAACTGCCTTATATCAAGTATGAAATCGCGGTGCAAGGCCTTTATATCTGTAAGAAGGGACCTTTTCTTTTGCTTATTCTGCAAATGCTGTTTCATATTTTCCGACTTCAACGAGTGTTATCCGCGATCATGCGGGTGCATTACAATTGTTGAATGGTCATTTGTTTTGTATTGTATCAATGCATGTACAAATCAAATTTCAATGGGTCTAGTATTTCTAGAGATAATGAACCAAGTCCGCAAATTCTCTTAATTTTTTACACCAGTGTAGATGACTTTAGGGCTAAGCCACTTGTTTTCTGGCGCTCACCAATCCCGATGATTTTCCCACAAATAATTGTTGATTTGTATGATGAGCAGGGCTGGATTAACCTATAGGCACACTAGGCACGTGCCTAGGGCCTACGAAATTCAGGGGCCTACGAAAAACTTGGGAGAAAAAAATTTGTTGACAAAAATAATTTAGCTTTAAAAACAACAAGTGTATTTTGCACAAAATTATGAAGATACAAATAAAAATATAATATTTTTCGGTAATAAATTATTTTACAGAATCTTATGATCTAATATATTACTTTTTTGCTATTTTTGGATTCAACGAAATCTTGTATTATGCTGTCGAATTCCAAACTACGCAAAATGTCGTATTCAAT